GCAGCAGGCAGCAGCAGGCAGCAGGCAGCAGGCAGCAGCACCCGTGCTACAGCAGTACCACACATCGTACTTGCCCAACCGGACGCGCAGCTTACCTCTGGGTTATTAGCAGCCGGGTTGGTGGTGGCAGAAGAACGTGTCCTCAATCCCTCATGCGAACCCTGGATGGCGGCGATGACGGGGCAGGACATAACCCTGTCTGCCCCGCAACCCCCGCTTCCGCCGCCTTGTGGTATGCCGTTCTTCCGAGCTGCGTTTCGCTTGCCCGCCATGATGGCGTCAGCCTTTTCGCGGGCCAAGTTGGACAAAACCACTTCGCTAGCCTCGCAGTAGCCTGTGTTCTCCGCGGCTTTTCTGCCCTTCCTCTTGCTGTCCAACAAGGTGGTGCGAAGCTTGATTCCTCGTTCGTGTGGGGACCACTTGTGGATAACCTCGTATCTTGTTTGGCCAGCATACATGATGCGTGTACATTCGCCAGCGGCAGTCACCGCTGGGCCCTGGCCGCGCAGCATTTTCAAGCCCGCTTCCCACCACCACTTTTTGTCTGACCAACTTTCTGAGTGGCTCTACCCCCCCTAATTCGACCAAGCGGAATCGATTGGCGACGATTCCCGTGGCGAAAAAGTTCGGCAATGCGGCGAAAAAAAAAGTTCGGGCTGAAGGGGAACTTTTTTTTTTTGGGAACTTTTTTTAAACGTCGTTTTTGGGCGTTTGAGAACGATCTGCGAAGTCAATTTTTTTTTTTTTTCTTCTCCGAGGTGGGAAAGGTGATTCGTCTTTAGCTCGGAACCCGCCCTAGTCTAGTCTGCTGATCCAACACTTGACGCGGTCGATTCCCGTGGTCACAGGCTAACTTACCCAAAAAGGTACACTCAAATCAACTGGCCCCGAGGGGTCCGCAAGTCAATAGAAATCAACGACAGATGTTCGGGAGTCCTCCGCTCCCTCTGCGCGCTATGCGAGGTGACAACTGCTGTGTGCTTCTCGGGAAATCGTGGAAAAACGGAACTTTCGCTGACTGACTTTTTCGCAGTTTATTTTTTTTGAAAGTAAACTCACAGAAATACTACCTGTTCGAGACATAAACCTCAGTCGTTAGTCCAACCCGTGTTCACAACACAGAATGCTCTCCCTGAGGCCCCCTACCCACCCCTCCTGCGGCACTTCGCCTTCGAATTTTTTGGGAGCGATGTGATGGATCTATTATTTTAGTAACATTTTTGGTGTCCGGATCGGACATCACCATGTCCACAAGTTGCGGAGTTGTGCTGTGGCTCATGTTTCCGTGCGAAAGAGGGCAGAGCAATGCTCCTACACAGCGAGGAGCTGAAGAATGCCATGAACGATTCAGGCGTATGACTCTATGACCTATTGACTCCTATTTTGTTCGAATCACCGCCAAACCAATCTCACAAGAACGGTAGCAGTGAGACTTTCCCTTGCGCCCGGGGGAATGGGCCAGAGAAACACGTGCGAAAGCGTGTGCATACGTGTCCGAACTCGGCGCGTGACCCATTAATGTTTGCCAGTTGCAAGAGAGAACGGAACGGCGGCCGTCGTCGTTGTTGCACTCTGCGTATCCTTGGTGATAAATTCCAACGGAGGCAGGCCAGTCAAAAGCACCACACTATGCAACAGAAACAGCGTCAGAGCGCGTACCGCATTCCGGGTACGGACGACTTGTGCGCATGCTATCAACTTGCAAACTACAAATACACATTCATTCGTTGCCATACATGGCAATGCTCTGACCACCGGTCACAACGTGTGCGGCCAGGAAACCAGTAGCGGCAATACATACCCGCAGACAACAACAGTC